CACTACTGGGAGGTTCTGATCGGAGGAAGCACATGGTAAACGCACACATCTGCACATCTTTGTAAAACTGAACCATTCCATAAAATACACTTGCGTAGTTTTCTTGTCTTATGTCCAAACATCATCGTCATATCACTACATTTGAATATGACAACATATTGGAATATAACCAGAGTTATTTTAGTATTAATAATATATTATTATATGATTTATTACTATTTTGAATTAGCTTTTAGGTTTGTAATTTCAGTTTTTTTTTTTTTTTTTTTTTATTGTATGCACTTTTGTCATTTTTATTAGTTTTTGCTTTTTATATATATTTATATTTAGGTTTAAAAAAAAATTACTTAAATTTTAGTTTTAGTAATTTTTAGGGCTGTCAATCGATACAATTTTTTAATCTGATTAATCACATCCGTTTTCTGTGATTAATCGCGATTAATCGCACCTTTCATGAAATTAAGCATAGACCATTTATCTTGTTTCAAATGTTTATTTTGTCATCATTTGCTATATCCAGCAAAGTAAACCAAAAGATTGAAGGGTGATTCTCAAAAATCACTCACACGTGCTTACTGTACGACTCCTGTATGCCACCGCAATCCTCTTTACCTTGACTGCAGTCTTCATCCATCAAAACTTTACTAGCGAGACTGGTTATCCAGTCGAGAAACTGTAGTTTGCGTCTCATCTGGCCATACAGGGGTGGGATGTGTTGAGAATACTTCACACATTGCGTGTGACATGTGAGGGCTCGCGCTCTTCAGAGACAATCACAGAATATGACAGAGCTCAAGGATTGTAAAATTAATCGCATCATTGTTAACGATGACAGCCCTAGTAATTTTATTTATTAACATTTTAGTATTTATATTTTATTTTATTTTATTTCATCATGTTTAATGAATTTTTATTTCTTAAAAACCGCTTTGGTGAGCAGAAGAGACTCAAAATCATAAAAAAAAAAAATCTGAATTATTCCAAACAATTGACCGGTAGAATGTGTAAACAAACGTGTAAATGTAAATGCATTCTCTCTAATTCTTTCAAGGTTTGCTATCGGTATCGCCTACAAATCGGCTCCCAAGCACGGCTGGGTGGGTAAGGACTCGGCATCATGGGTACTGAGCCGCTGCAACACCTCGTGGGTCGTGCGTCACAACAGTAAGGAGTTTCCCATCGAGCCGTCTCCTCACATGCGGCGTCTGGGAGTCCTGCTCGACTACGACTCCGGCTCTCTGGCGTTTTACGACGCCGCGGGAACGCAGCACCTGTACACCTTCGACATCGCCTTCTCTCAGCCCATCTGTCCCGTCTTCAGCGTGTGGAACAAGTGCTTGACCGTCCTCACGGGGCTCCCCATCCCGGACCACTTAGAGATCAGCGACCCGCGTGACTGAACGCTCCTCCTGTACTCCCGCTGTTCAGAGGAAGGGTTCTGACAAAAACGAAAATTTGCTGAAAATCTACTTACCCTCCGGCCATCCAAGCTGTAGATGAGTTTGTTTCTTCATCAGATTTGGAGAAATTGTCTATTTTTATTTTTTTCAGTTGTAATTTTTATATTTTAATTTTTAGTTTCTTCTCCCCAATTTTTGTAACTTTCTTATGTGCTTTTGTTATTTTTATTGTTGTTTTTTTTATATATATTCTGTTTAGCTTTTTTAGAAAAAATAAAATAAAATAATAAAATGTATTTCCATTTTAGTTTTAGTAATTGTAGTACTTCAACGCATTTCAGTTAATTACCAAGGCAGCATTTCTAATTTTCTTTTTTAAGTTTAAAAAACCTTTTTTCCCCCAAATTTTATTAATTTCAATATTTTATTTTTATTTCATCATATTTAATGTTTAACTGTTTCAGTTTTAGTCATTTAAGTACTTTAATTAAACATATTTCAGTCAGCATTTCCAGTTTTTTAAATATTCATTTTTTAAGTTTAATTTCTTCATATAATACTTACAGTACATTTGATTTCAGCATCATTTTAATTAACAAAAATGGTTTTAGGTAACAATAACATCCCATTTAGGTAGCAAGTTAAAATCCCATTAACAGTATTCATAAAGAATTTTATATTATGGATTATGGATTCATATTTTAGCTGGAAGCAAGTTTGAAGTTAAAAACATCTTAATGCTGGATGTGTTTCAGCTTTTGTCTTCTCCAGATGTTAACTGATGGACTGGAGTGCTGTGGATTACTTGTGGATTATTGTGATGTTTTTATCAGCTGTTTGGACTCTCATTCTGACGGCACCCATTCACTGCAGAAACACTGATGCAATGCTACATTCCTCCAAATCTGATGAAGAAACAAACTCATCCACATCTCAGAAAGCCTGAGGGCGAGGACACATGCAGCATATTTTCATATTCCAGCATATTTAAAAAAAACAGTGATGTGTCTCTCCTGACCGCTTGTTAACATCAGGTGCTCTATAAACCTACAGAACTGGACCAAAATTGTAGGAAAAGTCCATAATAATGTTCCCGGTTTCACTAACAGGTCCTATACTGTACATTGCTTCACCTACATTTCATAATTAAGCACCTTGAATCCTAATAGTTGATGATTTTTTATGACTCTTCTGTCTCATGCACCTCGAGTCACTTTATTTACTCATCTTTAGGGTTTTTAGTATGACTTCAAGTCCGTATAAGATCGTGAATAAACACCAAAATCATCACCTGTAGTTACATGAAATCAGCAGTCACATGATTTACTGTCGTTCTTCCTCAATATTATTATCAAACGCTCCTGTCTGCTCCTGTGCTCCGGTGCTCTTCCTCACGTCCTGAAACATTTACTGTGTTCGGAATGGAATACTAGCTTACTACATACTCAATACTGCGCAGTATACTTACTTTGAGTAGCTGGGGAAACAGAACAGAACAATACTATTGTTAATCTCATTAATCAGCCTATCAGAATGATTTCTGAAGATCATGTGACACTGAAGACTGGAGTAATGATGCTGAAAATACAGCTTTGATCACAGGAATAAATTACATTTTAACAGATATTCACATAGAAAAAGGTTATTTTAAATTGAAAAAATATTTCACAATTTTTACTTGAGCCTTGGTGAGCAAAAGAGGCTTATTTTTACAAAAAAACTTAATTATTCCAAACTTTTGACCATTAGTGTATAAACTATTCTCTTGAATTCCTTCTAGGTTTGCTGTTAGTATCACATTAATGCACAATAAACATTTCAGACTGTTCAGATGGATGGTTTTCACAGCAATGCTTTTTGGTTTAGAACCATTTTTTTTCTTAGCGTGAAGAACATTTCAATATTCTAAAGAACTTTTTTTCACTGCATAGAACCTTTTGTGGAGTGGAAACATTCCATGGATTTTAAAAGTTCTTCATGGAACCATCAATGACTATAAAGAAGCTGCTTTCTTTTATCCTGATTTTCCTGATCAAAAGTGACAGTAAAGACATTTCTAATGTTACAGAAGATCTCTATATTCAAATAAATGCTGTTCTTTTGAACTTTCTGCTCATCTGTGAATCCTGAAAAATAAAATGTATCACGGTTTCCACAAAAATATTGTGCAGCACGACTGTTTTCAACATTGATAATAATCGGAGATGTTTCTCGAGCAGCAAATCTGCATATTAGACTGATTTCTGAAGATCATGTGACACTGAAGACTGGAGTAATGATGCTGAAAATACAGCTGCGCATCACAGAAATAAATTACAGTTTAATATACATACAGTATACTGCAGAAATAGTATGAGTAGTATGCCATTCCAAACAGAGCCATATATTGTACCTGCACTTTTTCTAAGTATCTGACCTTTTACCCTGTAATTTTTTGCAAGAAAACTGTGACGTTTAATTTGATTAATTTAAATGTCAGGATGTTTTTGACATGGAAGGAGAAATGCCAGAGTATGGATATATCCTGAAATGAATTGATTGAACTTTGATGAAATCGATCTGATTCTCAGGATGTGTTTTCATCGTCACACTGAGGTTCGGTTCGACCGATCAAAAGCACAAAGGGATGTTAGTTAAAAAAAATTATTTGTGTCACAATCAGTTAAACGAATGGCTTTTGTTAGAAATATCTTGTATGTGTTGCAGATTGAGTAGCACCTACTGCACTTTATGCATGAGTTTGGTTTGATTCACTGTTTAGATTAAAACTTCAAATCAATTTTTTTCTGGAAAATGCTTCTAAAACCTGTTTCAATGTACAGTGTTACAGTTATATTTTGTATTCAGAATTTTGTTTTCTGAATTAAAAAAAAAAATTGTGAATAATGTCCTGCCCTGGAATAATAAAATTGCTTGTCCCTTTTTCGTTGTGAATGCTTGCCTCTAAATATGATAAATATTATAAAGCTTTTACAGTAGCAGTTCCAGACTTAAATCAAAAGTGTGTGTGTGTGTGTGTGTGTGAGTGCGTGCGTGCGTGTGTGTGAGTGTGCGTGTGTGTTTATCACGTTATGGGGACCAAATGTCCCCACAAAGATAGTAATACCAGTAAATGTTGACCTTGTGGAGACATTTTTTAGGTCCCCGTGAGGAAACAAGCTTATAAATCATACAGAATGAAGTTTTTTGAAAATCTAAAAATGCAGAAAGCTTCCTGTAAGGGGTAGGTTTAGGTGTAGGGCGATAGAAAATACAGTTTGTACAGTATAAAAACCATTACGCCTATGGAGAGTCCCCATAAAACATGGAAACACAACGTGTGTGTGTGTGTGCCCAATACCTAAAATAAATAGCACAGTTAGACTATAGGAAAACAAAACTAATACTCATAAAACTCTTTACAAAATGTCTCTATTTATTTTAGTTGTGTTTACATTTTAATGTATGTATAAAATTTAATGCAGTCTGGTTGAGTTCTTTTTTATTATTATTATCTGTGTCGTGGAAGAGAAAGCGCTTCATTGATTGGTTGCCTGATTCCTGACTCCGCCCAACCCGGAAGAAGCTCCGTTTAGGTGACGTCGCATGTTGTTGTCCGTGATGGCGTCGTCCACAGAGCAGAGTCTCCTGGAGCTCACTGATAAGGAAACTCGGGAGAAGCTGTCGCACTGGGACCGTCGCGGGGATCCGATGGCTCCGTTAACGGAGAAACAGACGGACTCGGTCCTCGAGATCCGCGCAGCCGCAGAAGTCGCGCTTCTCCCAGCGGAGGTGAGTGCAGTGATGCTAGCGTCTAAGCGTCAGCTAACAGCTAACAGCACAAACACACTCCTCTCATTTCCACACACTCGCTGTAGAGTCACACTTCTGCTCTGTAGTGTGCACTAGGATGAGCACTCGGTCTGTTCTGACCCTCGTCTGGCTGGTTAGGTGAGGTTAGTGTGTGGAAGTGTGCCACGTATGTAATCCATTCAGTGTGCAAATGAGTCAGTTTAGCTAAACAAGTCTTGCATTTCACTTTTGAGAAGAATTAATAATGCTAGTTTAACCAGGGGTTTGCAGAACTCCTGTGGCTTTCAACCTGGGGTCCTGGAAAAGTTTGGAGAAAAACAGAGTAAAAGTAGCATATTAGGAACTAAATATTTTACAAATATTTTACACTTGTAATATACATTTGTCAAGGTATAAATTGGCTCTTTAAACGTGAAGATATATCACTTCCTTTTACATTTAAGGTTTAAAAACACCTGACCTAAATGATTTAACTGAGATATTAAGTAATGTTACTTCTGGGGTATGGGGGGAAAGTTTACAGAAAAACTAAAAAATGTTAGATTAATAAATAATTAAAAAAGACAAGATTAAACTTGCATTTACATTTTACATTTAGGCATTTAGCAGATGCTTTTATCCAAAGTGACTTACAAATGAGGACAACAATCAAACCAACAAAAGAACAATAATATGTAAGTGCTGGGATAAGTCTAGGTTAGCCGAACGCAGTACACATAGCAATTTAGAATAGAATGTTTTTAGCCATTTCTTGAAGATGGGTAAGGACTCAGCTGCTTGGATTAAGTTGGGTTGGACATTCCACCAGGATGGAACAGTAAATGTAAAAGTCAGTGAAAGTGATTTCGTGCCTTTTTGGGATGGCACTATAATGCGTTGTTCACTTGCAGAACGCAAGCATCTAGAGGGCACATAAGTCTGAAGTAGGGCTGGACAATATGGCAAAAAAAAAAAAAAAAAAATTTT